AAAAAGTTAATCAATCGAGTGGCTTCACTGCCTTCACAAGTGACCATGGCCAGAATGAGATATCTCTAATTTCGTCCCTACGCGTGAAAAATATCGATCGATTAAAATCTCGTGATTTGTTCAATTGACCTGTTACCTGTCAAACTCCATCAAGTCCAGTATGGGCAATTCAATTGCAGAGTAGCAGCAGTTCAATCGGTCAAAATTCTCACGCAAAGGTTCCAGTGGCTTAGATCTGCATGAAATGAACACGCATATAGAACAATTGTGCCGATTATACAGTTTGCTCAGTTATTGTAAGGAGAAACAAGTTAACTGGAAGATTTTCTAGGGGTTAGTAACTTGTCTCCGGAAATCAATAGCTTCTGGGATGGTTTATGTATCATAGTATAAGTTACCATTTGTGAAACTGTGATCTACGTAATCAACCGTAACTATAGCCTTCCTGTACCATCACATTGTAAAATCTTTTGGAAGATTATGTGATGTGGATTGCACACAGATCAGTTCAGTTCAGTTTGGGAAGGAGGGTTTTCCAAATGGATGTCTAAGACCTTAGGGCACGGCATACTTCACGGTAGCCCACACCGACGAAGGGGTTTTTCTTTGGGAACGCTAACCGGAGCCCTTGACTCAAAAGTTTGACCCACAAGGTAGTGGGGCGTAAATCCAACGCGGGAGCGTGAATGAAGCATCCGTGCGGGAGCTTCTGGAGACCTGTCACGCAAGGCCTTTGAATTTCGATTAGTTGTTTTGTTCGCTGGTGCGTTGGTTGTCCGTCCGCTTTTCGGGATCGTCTCTCAGCTTCATGCACCCAATGAGACAAGCGGAACGTGGACTGGACAGCACCTTGTTGACTGGGGGCTGCCCAGCTTGGGCGGGTGGTAGCTGTCCAATGAAGTGCGAAGACTTCTCCCACCGTCGAGAGAGGTCCCAGGTACCCGGCTCATGCATCCATCTAGCGGGGCTTCTAGACCGGTAAACTGCCCCCTGTGTTTATTTGCTGAAGTGACCTCTTCATGGGCGGGTGTGGATAGAAGACAGAGGCCAGGAGGTGCCCACGCAGCTGGCCTTTTGAGACTGATCTTCCTCTGGCCTTTCAGGCATGATTGGATCTACGGTTGAGGAGCCATCTTGTATGGCTTACAGGGTCATTGAGGCACGCAAGCCGTCACATCACGTCAAGGTGCAGTCTCGTCGTGATGGCGTAGTCTCGTTAACAGAAGACGAGATTGCCTTGAATTGAATGAATGGTTAATATAAAATAAATACAAACCTCGAATCGTGAGGCAACCTGGGGAGTGCGTGTTTGCACTGTCGAGGCACCATCAAACGATAGTGCGTCTTCATTAAAAGAGTTGAGATTTACAATTAGAGCAACATGCCAAAATGAGCCTTCAAAGGCTGCCAAAACGTTCAACTCAACGACTGCGGGTGTGTGCAGTTCAGTAAAAGTCAACGGTTGGAATGCCTTTAGGTGGCAAGCACAGGTGCACAAGGGTTCAATGACTGACAGCCAGCCAATCAAATGTACGGGGTCAAAATGCCAATCACGTGAGGGACGGGAACAATGAACTTATGTGGACATGAATGTGTGTGTGTTAATGTGTGTGTCTGTCGAGCGGTAGATACCTACCGGGTCGCGAATAAGGAGAGTGTGGAGTAGTGGGGGTGAACAACCAAGTACGAAGGCGATTCGGGTCACTGGCACGAGAACACAGACGGACGGATCAATCGATCCACTGGGTCAACGCAGGCCTAGCAGGTTCAGTAAGAGAGGGACGAAATGACACAAATCAAGAAATAACGAAGTATGACTGGGGAAAAGTGCATACGGTTTGGGGTATGATCAGGGAACGTCTGTTTGGAGATCGAAACGGATCGAAACGGATTCAACACACATGATGTTGTTATTTACGTGTGATGGAACTGTTTGTGATAACCGACAAAGAGCACTGGACAGCTGTTTCGTCTTGTTTGGGACTCGTCAGCGGGGCGTACATTTTGTTTCCCTGTCAGGACTCGAACCGCGAACATCCGGGTTGGGACTTCAAACCCTCACCCCTGAGCTACACGGTCGCCGGCCATCACCTTGTGCGAATGGCTCAATCAAGTTGAGTGTAGCAAGCTTGGATTAGCCGATTCGATTGTACCTCTAAATAATCGAATGGGCTAATCCAAGCTAGCTACACTAAAAATGATGTTCATATGTTAGATGAAAATTCCAGACCTTGTAATTATGCTGTAGCAAAAATTCTTTACGTTATTCCATTAGTGAATTCCCATTCCTAAGTTCGTTGATGCCATTTAACATTGGGCGGGTGAAATCCAAGCTTTATCACAGAGACTATTCAGAATATATGAATAATTGCTTGAGGGCACAACATTTAAATGGAATCGTTGATTGGTACAGTGAAGCCACGTACAAACACAGGTCGAATATAAATCTGGATATGACTCTTCAATTCTGCTTGATGGGTTTTTGTTCAAANAACGATATATTAATTTGCAGATGTGTTTAAGCTTTGTCCTCCGTCGTTCCCCTTGAACAAGCCTAATCTAATTTTTACGTTTTCCTTTCCTTTACCCCCACAGCATGCATCATGAGCAGATTAACCCGGAACTGTCTGATGCTTTTGTATTTTGTCCTTAGGATGAAGACATGAGTACTGCTCCCCGGGGTTCAGCAGCGGTGATTTGAACTACAATGCGGTTCAATAATTGGGGGAAAATTCGTGCGTTTCGTCAAGCAGTAATCATCAAGTCAGCCAAATAGCTAAAATGAGAGCATCCTTCCGTTTTATGTAAGTTGTAATTTTGAAAACACAGCGATGTGGGTACGGGTGAAAATGAGCTGACGTTTCCGTTTCCGTGGGTAACCTGACACTATGAATCCTTAACGATTCCATGATGAGTAAAATAACAGCAATTGTAATAACTTTTACTTCTCTCAGAATGAAGTGCTCCAGTCACTTAAAAGGATTTCAGATGAAGCATTATCTGTACTTGTTGCGGATTGACTTCGTTCACTGTTACTGTCAACCAACCGGATTTCCCCCATTTTGTCGAGTCGGTTGCGAAACTGGACGTTCATACAACGTTCGGATTAAAAAGCAATTATTAAGCATGCTAACACCTTTTCCAGTTGCATTGCTTCAAACACTGTTACTGTTTAGCAGGTCTGTGCTTGCGGTTATGGATTACCACGTGTTCCAATATTGCCATTCCCTGTCCTCCTCATTTATACCGACAGAACTTTGTGCTGATCCATTCTGTGAGAGCCACTGCTCATTCGAATGAACTACCTGAAGTTTTCCAATTTTGATCGTTTGCTGAGTTTCAATGTTAGTAGCTTGCGAAACGCTTTTTATAGCTGCAGCTTTTATGTTTCAGTTCTTCATTCATTGGGACCTGCATTCACCATAATTTCTCCCCTAACAAACAATTTGATTTCTATAGCTGGACCACCTGGAGAGTTGTAGAACAATTCCCCTTGAGCTTCTAAAAGGTTTGGTGACCGTTGACCTGTTAGTGGTCGAATTTTTCCTGCGATGATTTAGAAAGTTTGAATTTGTATTGGAGTAATAGAGGATTTGATTTGTTTATATGATGATTTCGTCGTGTAAATGAGACGTGAGCTGAAAAGCTGAGAAAAACTGGACAGCTGTTTTGACCTGGTTGGATTTCATCAGCAGTGCGAATCCATCGACCATCGGACCCGGGACTTCATAGGTGGAACGCAAGCATGCTACTTACTCGGCCACCGGGCAGCTGATCAGATCGTTTCTCATTTATACGACGAATCCATCATATAAACAAACCAAATCCTCCATTACACCCTACAATAAGATGATCATGTGAAAATTTCCATCCAAGTCATATCCCCGGAAGTTCTATTTTACAAAACAGCGACTTGGATAAATCGACGCAGGTGAATATATTGTAACCGTTCAAATGCAGTTGCTCTTAGATCACCCGAAAGTATCAAGCACCTGTAAAGCATTAAACTTCAAACTCAATCATTGGTGGTGAGCTCACGGTAGTTAAGAAGCTCTGGATATTCGTTGTGCTCTGTTTGTTTGTTCACGCGTTGCATAGATGGTCAAAATGGAGTCACTGAAAAGGTGACTGATGGGAATTGAGCATCCTTCAAACTTCACCTTCACGAGCGATCTTCGGCTCTTCTAATTAACCATACACTCGGAAGCACTAGACTCAAGTTTCGCTCTTATTGGATCTCATCAGTAGTACATATCCACCGTCCAGTCCGGGATTTGAACTTCGGACTCATCGCATGGAAGATGTGTGGGTTACCATGTTTTGTCAGTTGTCGTCTTCAAAGATAGTCAGTTCAATTTGGCCCGACGGCAACGAAGGGAAACACAGTTGATTACCTGTTAACTCTAACCGAAAGCTCAACACCAAATCCGGTCTTCCATACAGATTACTGACCAACTGGTCACAAACTTACTAGGCTGGATTAATACCTCGCATTTAATTCACAGTTACATGTGTATCAACTTATTCGCCAAGGAAGTTGTGGTGATCCAGACTTAAGTGACCGCATTCCAGGCACGACCAGGTACTGCTTCATGTCATCCAAACACCGTTCAGGAAGCTCGACCAATGGTACACCGGGCGAACATCGGAGATAGTCCATTTGAAGCGTCTGACTAAACGGTTACGTGATTGGACGCCAGTCCTTCTATCAATGATATGCCGTATTACCTTCTATAAAACGTGCTCTAATTCTATCAATGCACATAAGCATTCGCTGCTATCAATTCCTCGTGTATTTCATTGGTGTCCGCAGTTCGGG